AAAAATGAAAATTTTTATAATATGCAATGACTCTATCTTTAATATTGTTAAGTACAACAACACAGTGTCTACATATAATATTTAAATGTTTATTGCCAAGTAACTTTATTGCTCATGAAGAGATAATAAAAAAAATGTTTCATTCAAAACAAACTCTAAAATATTTATTTTTTAGAAAGTGTTATATATATATATATATATATATATATATATATATATATATATATATATATATAGACACACACACACACACACACACACACACACACACACACACACACACACACACACACACACACACACACACACACAACCTTCGGAATTAGGGTCGGCATTCGGCAATGCTAACCTAACTGCTGACCTTTGGCAATGCTAACCTAACTTCTGAAGTGTTTGAGGTCGGTAAAAAATTTCCGACCTTCTTTCTATGTTTTATGGTAAGATATTTGTATCAAATTTTTTTTGCCAACCTGATGCCGACCTTTAAAAGAATAAGGTTGACAATAATTTCCCAACCTCATTTTTCCTAATTCTAAGGTTTGTGTGTATATACATATACATATATATATATATATATATATATATATATATATATATATATATATATATATATATATATATATATATATATATATATATTTATATATATATATATATATATATCAGGCCTTGCAATGAATAAGAACTGCGCGACACATAAGCACGACGTGATTTTTGACATCATTAAATTCTTTTTATTTGGTTTTCATATTTATCGACATTAACTGCACCAATTTACTTAATTACCGCAAAACTACTTTAAATCGTTTATGTAGAAATGTTATTATTTAAAAATGTTTTGGAATGTTTCGTTTTTTAAAATGTAAAAACATTTGTTTATTTTCTCGACATTTGTCACGTTTTGAAGGAATTTTATTTCTAGTAAAATAAAATAAAATGTTAGAATAAAAATATAGGTATAAAAGAAATATTTCAGCGAAAAAATTATTCTTAAAAATTATTATTAAAAATTATTCGAAAAACTATTGACGTTTTATTTTTCAGCAGCTGTTCTTGAGCACACTTCGTTGAGTTTCGGTAACTTTTAACACAAAAGCAATCGTTATTAAGTAATTTTTTTGAGTTACTTTTTACAAAAATTTTAATAACTGTACTTTTTTATTGAATCAAGTAGAATACGTTTTAATATTAATCCTTTTTTTTTTTTATTTGCGCTCACCAATTTTTAAAATGTTTCTTAAATACTTTAAATACGTCTAACAGTTAATAAATATTTTTAAATCTATGGAATATTTTTAAAACCTAACAAACCCCCGTAAAATAATTATTTAAGTTTAAAATCTAAAACTAAAAGAAAGTATTTTTGTTCAATTTTATCGACAACTTTGCTATTGCTGAATAATTTTATTAAAATGTTAGCTTAAAAGATTTAAACTTTTTTTTTAATCTGAATTTTTTCTACTTGTAAATAATGAGCATATTTAATTTTTTTTAATTCAAACTTTTATTTCAACTGCGTGCCGTTTTTAAAATACTTTATTAAATGTTAAAATAATCGTGAATTACTTCATTAAAATTCTGCTCAAAAATATCTTTAAATATACTCAAACAAAAAATTTTTTGCTCGACGCAAATAGCCCTAGCTACACGCAAAATCCCTCTTGGACGACGTAAAATTCACATCGCCCGACGCTTTATCGCAAGGCCTGATGTATATATATATATATATATATATATATATATATATATATATATATATATATATATATATATATATATATATATATATATGATTTTAAATTTATATAGTTTAGGTAGGTATTCGTTTTGCACCTACTATTTATATACTTATTCTTTATTTAGTCTATGCATTCCAATAGATTTAAGTGACTGAAAATGACAATACTTCATCTTGGCTTTAAGTTAACGATTGATACTATATATTTTTAATTGAAAATCTTTAATGACATACCGGGTTTAGATACTTATTGATTTTATAACTTTTTTTGTTTTTTCTAATATTTATATAAAATAGTTTCACAATGAGTTAAACAATTGTTTTGCACACTAATTAACATTCATATAACATAGTTTAGCAATATTTTTACTTTAAAAAAGAAAATTCTTTCTTGTCTCTAAAGTGCACAAACTTTACTAATTAAAAAAAGATAAATATTGAAGACCACTTTTTCAAAATATTTTGAACCCTCCCATTTATTAAGACTCCCCATTTTATCAGCAGGTAAGAATAATTTTTCGTGTTGTGACCAAAACTAAAAATTGTAACTAACTAAACTAAAAAAACCGTAGCTAAAATTAGTCAGCTAACTTTTTAGTTAACTAAAATCAGTTGACTAACTTTTTAGTTAAGTAGAATTACCCAACTAACTTTTTAGTTAACTAAAATTACCCAGCTAACTTTTTAGCTAACTAAAATTACCCAACTAATCTTTTAGTTAACTAAAATTACCTGACTAACTTTTTAGCGAACTAAAATTAGTTGATTTTTTAATTTAGTTAACTAAAATTACCAGACTAACTTTTTAGCCTAACTAAAATTAGTCAACTAATATTTTAGTTAACTAAGTATAGCCGACTTTGTTTTTAGTCCAACTAAAGAAATTTATAAATGTATAATATAAATAATTTGGATTCATGATATCATTTCTATTAGAATTTTTGAATAAGTTTGCTAATGTATGATCATTTTACCGCATAATACTGCAAAAATAAAAAATATCAAATTTTTTTTTTTTCAATTTTCAGTGCCAAAGGTTTAACAAGATACTTTAAGAAAATATTTGATAAAAAATCCAGAAAGTAAATATGGTAAAACACAAATATCTTTAGAATTGAATAAGCTACCAAGGCCAGCGCAAAAGGGTGAGGGGATGGGGTGGTTGGTTTTGTGTGTGACATCAATGAACTTTTAGCTCATATAGTAAGCCAATTTGACTCTTTTAGATAAGTAAGTTGGCAAATGTAGATTTTCAGAACAGTCACTTGGTAAATTTAAAAAAACAAGTTTTTTTTTTCCTTTTTCTAGTCAGTTAAAATTTTAAATTGTATTTTAACAATAATTTAATGTGCGCCATATAAAAATAAAAATATAAACTTAAAAATCACAAAAAAATATTAAATTCAACATAAAAAAGTATCAAAAATACTTATAAAAATAATTCAAATTGAAAAGTTGTTTTATTATTATACAGCTTTTAGTAAATGCTATAAAGATTATCAAGCTTCATTTAAGCTTTTTGAATACAATCAACATTCAGAATATTTCTTAAATTCTGCTATGTAGGAACTATTCTGCTATTTCTTAAATTCTGCTATGTAGGAACTATTCTGCTATTTCTTAAATTCTGCTATGTAGGAACTATTCTGCTATTTCTTAAATTCTGCTATGTAGGAACTATTCTGCTATTTCTTAAATTCTGCTATGTAGGAACTATTCTGCTATTTCTTAAATTCTGCTATGTAGGAACTATTCTGCTATTTCTTAAATTCTGCTATGTAGGAACTATTCTGCTATTTCTTAAATTCTGAACTTTCGGAGGAACTTTCGAAAATTAATCTTAAGAGGAGGAATTCGACCTGAAAATAGAACAAAATTATTAATTGAATACACTTAATACACATTGTTTTGTTATTTATGAAATTTGTTATTTATCTCAAAGCTTAAAATTGTGACTAAATAGATAGCAAATAAGAAACTTACTTTGTGAGGCTGTTTTTCTTTTGTGAAAGTTTCAAGATTTTTTATTGCAAGTTTGGATTAATAACTTTTTTTTTTAAAAAACAAAGCAAAAAATAAATGAAAAATAAAAATTTCAAAACTCATTTAAACAAAAAATAAAAAATTCAAAACTCATTTAAACAACCATCATTGCCAGCTTGCTCCATTCGAAATGACACTGCTGAATTAGGATCATATATATTTAACTGACAATATGTGGGTAGAAAACCTTGAAATAAGCTTGCCTGTATAAAAAATATAAAATAAAAAAATAACTATGCTGCAATGTTTTGATTTTTATTTACAAGAATTATATGAGAAAAGTATTTTTTTTAAAACATTAGGGCTATTTAATGAATTGTCAAATCCAGTTTCCTGTACAACTAAATTTATATTTATTATTTAACAACAATTATCTAATAAAAATATAAAGTAATGATTAGGTTTAATCTGATTGATTTTAAATTTTAGTGCAACTTTTATTATATATAGATCAATATATTAATCAATAACCAAATTTTACTTTTTTGTTGAAAGTATCTATTGTTCAAACATTTAAGGCTTTTATTCCACCTTTTTATTATTTATAAGTTGCTAGAAATAAAATTTCTTTTTAAACATCAAAAATGTGCACAAAGCGTACACTTAAGTTTTTTAAATAACACAAGTAAAGAAATTTTTTTTCACAAATGGTTGATATTTTACTATTTATAAAAAAAAAAAAAAATTGTTGGTCAAAAAATTAGCTATTGCACAGTTTATATTGATTTTTTAACAACTATTTTTTCAACTGTAGATATATATTCAAGAAATAAATATCAAATATCAGCATATTTTTATTCATTTAGTTATAGACAAAACATGTTTGAATCAAATGTCAAAAAAATATACAAACTGTTTAATTTCATGTTTTAAAGTGGAAGCAAATTGAAAGAATAAAAAGAATTTAATGATATCAATTAGACTTATGCTTACGCATTTTTTATTTATCACAAGGACTGATATGTCATCCCAAAAGTTACCACAGTTTCCAATTAAAACTCATTACAATAATTGTAAGAGCTTAAAAGTTTGAAAAGATTTAGTTGTTTTAAATCCTTGTTAAAATAGATTATTCAAATGGATTGCTAATAAAGATTTGCAAAGTTAAAAAAAAAAATTCTTGATCTTGCTATAAATAAAAATATGAATAAAATTATTGATAACACATGAAACTATGAAAATGAGTAATATTGGTTAGCATTTTGCAATTTTCATTTTTCAATTTTTTTTTTTTTTCAATTCATTTTTCAACTTCATTTTTCAATTTATTTTTCAACTTCCATTTTTTTATTAAATAGGAAAAATGTTTACTGAAATAGTTTTTAGTTAGCATATTTTTTACTACAAATGTTTAAACAAAAACATTGCTAGCGCAAACTTTTGCAAGTAAATGCGGTAGTGGTGTAGTGGTAGAGCGCTCGCTTCATAAACGAGTGGTTCCGAGTTCGACCCCACCACGTCCCTGGTAGTACCGCGCTCAACTCGTTTCTCCGCACAGCGGCCTTGTTCGTCAAGGTTCGTGTTTCGGAGTTATAGAGTTGAGAGAAGGTTATAGCCACAAATAAGTAGCCTCCTCGTCTGTAGTGGCCTTCTCGGCCTTGAGGAGGTGAATTAAAATAAAAAAAAAAAAAAAAAATATTTTTAAGTATACTAAATATGTATATTAAACCACCAACCAAACATGTATTCTCTAATTTAGTGAAATGGCCTCTATATCACAAGTAAAAATAAGAAATTACAAAAATAAATGTCTTATGTCTGATTTATATCTGAAATTTTGATGTCTTATATCTCTCTAAGATCTAATTCAGAATCTTTTTCATTCAGCGTATTTTTCAAACGTTTTTTGAAATAACCACAGTCAAGTTGTCAAAGCAAAATATTATTTGCCTGGTCATACAATGGCAAGCGATCGCATGCCTTCCTGTGAAAGCCTGTTTAGTATGATAACAAAATTTATTTTAATAAAGGATAAAAAATATTTGCAGAATAACAAGGGGTTTCCACTTTTAAAGTCAATTTCAGTTTCAAAGTTCATTTAATACTAAAAGACTATGCGGTTAATGTTTTGATAAAGCTAAAACTTTGATATATAGCTGCAATAAGCTTTAACTTACTACTAAGTCTTACTTTATATCTTCAATTGTTAATTTATGATATCTTGAATTCAACAACTTACTTTGTGGCCGTCATTATTGAAATATTAAACAATTAATATTAAGATTATTTGTTGTTTGTTAAAGTTTTCCACCAAATTTAAGTTAAAATTTTTTCTTTTTAATTCTTCAAATATGTTTTTCTTGTTAAGTTGTGTTGAGAACAATTAGTTTTATAGTTTTCATAAACTTTTGTAAAATTATTAAAAAAAAAAATTTTTTTCTCTGAAAGTTTAAAAAGTTTAAAATAAAAATATCATAAAACATAAAAGTAATAGAGTAGAATGGGGTCAAATGGAATAGTTAAGGATTTTAATTATTAATTTTTTAAGGAAAAATTTTTTTTCCTTTTTTTTTTTTTTTAAAGTTGTAGAGAGAATTGAGCTGTATTTAAATACATAAAAATGTAACAAATTTTTCTGTTACATTTTTATGTATTTAACTAAATTAAAGTTAAATTAAAAAAACAAAAAGCAATCAATAATAACAATTAAAAAAACAATCAATAATAACAATTAAAAAAATCAATCAAATCAAATAAACTTTTTTTCTTGTGACGATGTTGAGTCGTTTAGAGGTACTAGAGGTTGAGTTGAGTTTTACTTGTGCGGCACTTTTTGTAGCAATAAAACTCAGCGCCTTTTACGTATTGCTTTGATATGCATGTTTGACATAGCCACACCTTGCAATTTGAATTTTCACACTGGTACCATTCCATATTTTGACTTGCTGAAGTAGGCACATCTACATTTTTTCTTTTTTTTTGTGTCAACATGTTGGATACAAAACATTTGTTGCAAAGTTGCTACAAGTGATTGGGCTGATTGCAGTTGTTTTGCAACCTCTTTTTGATTTTCCTTTTGAATAGCCGGAGTTATTACAATATTGAAGGTTGTTTGCAGACAAGGTGACCGCAACAAGAGAGTAACTAGTGTATTTCATTCATTTATTAGAACCATTTTATAAAAGCAGTAATTAAAAGTCATTTAAATTCAGTTAGAAAAATTCATTCATTGAAATTTATACAAAATATTTATAGTTGAAGATATATTGGTCACTTGAGACCTTATAAAAAAAGCCGATTTTAAGAAATAAGCTATTGCTTGGTATTTATTTATTTATTTTATTAAATAAAATTAAGCGTATTTCATTTAATCCTACAACACTCCGTTTTCATTTTTAACTCATAACTTTTTTTCCTAAACACCAAACTTAATTTTGAAAAAAGATTCTTGATCAGCGTAAAAAGTTGTACCAGTAAACATTTTAAGTTCAATGATACCAAATTTAATTTCCGAGAGTTTCAAGTTCCCTTTTCAAACAAATAAAAAAAATCTTATTACACATTCAAAAACTTATAAATTTATAACAAAATTTTTTTATTAAAAATAAAATTTAATACAATCTTACTCAGAAAAATATTCTCTACAATATAATCAAAAAATATTTGCAAAAGAATTATTCAATAGTTAATTAAGATCGAAAGAATAAACATTGTCATAAATATTTCATTCTACCCGCTATTTCATTTTACCCTGTTTTACTCTATATAAAATAATAAAAAGTTCTATAGTAATATATAAAGTAATAAATTAGTCCTTTTAAATTTATTTAAAAGTTCTAATCAACATAATTGAGATGTTATCATGTGCATATAATATATGCAAAATCCCTCTAAAAATGTATTTTTATGTTGTACATAATTTTTATTTTATAAATCATGCCTAAGCTCAGCAAGAAGTAGTTTTTTTAATTGTGCAAATACATTTATAATTTTTTAACTCAAGGTTCATGAAGATTGCAAAGCAGACTTTGAAAAGAACTTTGAAAAATGTACCCTTGGTCATAATTCATTTTCCATTATTAAACCAATTTCTATCAAACAGTCATCAAAATTTCCAGACTTATGGGAAAGTGCAAGTACTAATAATGGTAGTAGTCCGTTGATTGTATTTGTTAATTCAAAGAGTGGTGACAACCAAGGTGTTCGCTTCATGAGAAGGTTCAAACAAATACTTAACCCTGCACAGGTTTTTGACTTAAGTGTTGCTGGTCCAGCTTTTGGGTAAATTAATTATGTCAATACAATTTTTCTGTTTTTAAATTAAATAAAAACCTATTTATTTTTACTGGATAAACTTTTATTGTATATTGTGTATTAGTTACCTTTAATCTTCTTTAGTTCAATCAAATAGATTTTGAAACTATTGTGAACCAATATTTTAGCTATGGTTAAATTCTTTATATTTTGAGTTGTCCAAAAACATTCAATATTGATATTATATACTCAACAATATAATATTATAGAAATCATGTTATTGTTGAGTTTTGCATTTTTTTAAAGAAAATTTAGACTTTGATTAAATAAGTTAATGATTTTAATTAAGTTTCAAATTTTATTAAGTAACATTTAAAAAAATGAAAATGGTTATTTTGATTCTTTATCAGTATTTATTCTTTCAAATGAGAAAATTTTTTGACAGCTACTTACCATGTATTTATACAATATATATAGTAATTAAATTAACTAAAAAATGTAGACCTGCTGATACTAGTTTTCTTTTAGCAAGTCACATTTAATGACTGGTTAAAGATAGTTTCAAGTCAGCGTTTTGAATTTATATATATTTTAACACAAGTTTGTAATTGATTTTAACAAATAAAGTTCTCAGCAATTCTAATCATGCAAATATTTACAAGTTAAAAAATTTGAAGTATTGTCAAAATAAATTTGAATTCCTTCAAAAGTTTTTACAGAAAAAGAGATTACATATGAAGCAAAATTTCTTTGTAATGTGTATGCTATCTCTAATGTGTGTACTAGTGTGTAATAATGTGTACTAGTGTGTACAGAGTTCACTGTGTGAACTCTGTACACACTAGTACACATAAATAAAGAGGGGCTATTAGTTAAGTAATAGTGTTTTTTTAAAGATATTTTTAAAGATATGATATACACATATGCCATAATTATTTTTGAGTTTTTAAAAAGCATTTTACTACAAATTAAAAAACAATTTAAACTAAATTTATTATAAATTAACTACAAATTTTTTACTAAAAAAATTCTAAGGACATGTTATATAACCGTTACATTAACTAAATTATTATATTATAAAATTAGATGGTTTTATATATTATACTTTAATATTGTTGTTCAGATTAAATTGTATTGATTTGCATATAATGTTATGTGTATAATCATATTATATGCGTATATTTATTTTATATATATATATATATATATATATATATATATATATATATATATATATATATATATATATATATATATATATTATATATATATATATATTATATATATATATATTATATATATATATTATATATATATTATATATTTATAATATATATATATATATATATATATATATATATATATATATATATATATATATATATATATATATATATATATATATATATATATATATATATATATATATATATATATATGTGACTATGATTCAAAGCCTTCACAAGAAAATAAAATTTTTTATAAAGTTCTAATTTAAAAAAAAAAGTTTTTATGGTGTTAAAATGATATTTTATGATTTTTAAATATTTACACCGTGCTCTCCTGAGACTATTAGGTAATGTTTACTTTTATTTTTTAAATATACACTTCTAAAACTCACTAATCCAGACAAACATATACATATGGGAAAAATTTTTATTTTGGTAAAAAGATGTAAATATATATAAACCACAAAAGACATGTTGACAGTTACATTTTTTTCAGTTATTGATTTTTACAATTTATTAAAATAATAAAGCTTTATAAAATTTCTATAACAGTTTTTAATTTGTTTTGATCCTTAATTTTCTCTTAATTTTATTTTTGACTAAATATATATATATATAAATTTAGTCTTACCATCTTATATTTATATAAATTTAGTCTTACCATGTGCAAACAATTTGAGCAGTTTCGTATTCTTGTCTGTGGAGGTGATGGAAGTGTTGGATGGGTTATGACTGAACTAGATAAACAAGACCTTACAAACAAGGTAAATTTGATATTAAATTAAAACGTCCTCACTTAGTAATATAAATTTTTTTAAAGTAAATTAAAGCAAGACTTTAAAAAAGTATGTTTTTTTATAAACATGTCCTTATAAGTGGATATATAAATATCCACTTATGAGGACATGTTTATAAAAAAACATACTTATGGGGACAAAAAATTAACAGAGACATTTTTGTGTACTTGTTAATGTACCTTACCAATGGGGACAGACAGGCAAGTGAAAAGTGAATCAACTGACAAATAGGTAGAGCATGTAAGAGAGTGCTGCTACATCATGTATTGTGAATAAGTTTAGGATATTTAATTAATAGTTGTCTTTATATTGGAAAAAAGTATTAGCTCAGAAATACAAAATAATTTAAAACACATACATTTAACATTAAAATACAATAAAATAGCCAACTGTAAAAAGTGTATAGCATAAAAATGATCAAATAACTCTAATAAAAAAATAACAAATAACTCTAATATTTAAAATGTCTTTGCTTAGTATCAGTTACTATTTATTTCAGGATTGATTTTCCATTAATTTACAATTTCCTGTGTTATGTTTCCTTAAAAGTACTTAAAAGAATTCTTTAGCATTTTTAGACTATTTTTAATCTTTTTTTTTGTTCAAAATATTTCCAAACATGTTCAATGATGTTTAAATACTGACAGAAAAAAGTAAATTGAAACTTAATTAAAACTCAAAATTTTGGGTTTTTTAAGTCATCTTTCTCAATCTGTGCATGCATACCCACAATAAAAGTAAGGATTATTGCTTATTGCTGCATTAACTGTATTTTAATTAAAACATTCTAGCTCACTATAAGAACACCTTTCTTTGTCATTACATTATTTCATGGCATTATAATGGCTTCTTTTTATCATGTTTTTTCTTACTACTTTATTCTATTCCCTTTCATTTGTAAATCTCTATATTTTTAAATTTATAATAACTGGAGCTTTTTTTTTCTATGAGATTGAATTTAAAAATCATCATTTTTAAATCGTCAATGACTTGTACATCATCATTTGTAAATCTTCATTTGTAAATCATCATTTGTAAATCTTGTAATCTTTTTATAATCTTCTAATTCCATAATAACTTAAGCTTTCTCTTTTCTATGAAATTAAATAAATTTTAACTATATTAATAGAATTTTTGCTGATTTTTTACTTTTTTAAGTTAATGTAAACTTATCCAGACAATTTGATTAGTTTAAGAAAAGAACTGCATATTTGCAGTTATTTATATCAACAGTTGTAAATAAACTTTAATAAATTGTCGGTTTTTTTCTTTTTTTGCAAGTATCCTTATCATAAACTTTTTTGATCCGGCGATGAAAGTTTGCTTTTTGCTGTTGTTTAACAACTTATGATATTTTATGATTTTAAAATGATATTTACACCGTGCTCACCTGAGACTGTTAGGTCCTTATTTAAAAATTCCTATAGAAACCTTGTTTTATGTTAGTTGAAAAAGTTTTATTTATAAAGCTTTTTAACAGACATTACATTTATATAACTTCAAGCAAAAGAATTTCTTGTAAGGTTTTCTAATAAATTTTTTAATTTATTTTAATGTATGAAATGCTCCAATTTGCATACATATATTTTATCATGTATGTATGTATACTTTAAGATTCAATATTTTAAGTTTAATTAAGTTTTGTATATAAAAATACTTTTGTAAAGAAATTTTATGCTTTGCTTTACATTAGTGTCAACTAGGAGTTCTACCACTAGGAACGGGTAATGATCTGGCTCGTGTTTTGGGTTGGGGCACATCTTGTTATGATGTCAGTTTAATACCTCACATCTTAAAACAGCTTGAACATGCAAAGCCATGTATGCTTGATAGGTTAGAATTTTTTTTTTATTCTATTTATGTATTTGTTTTTTGTTTTTTGTTTTGTTTTTGCAAAAATGTTCTAAATATTATTCGTGTAGTTGTTAATTTTTGTTTCTGTTATAGTAAAAGTAACTACAGTAACAAATAAAATATTAAGAGTCAAAGTCTGTTATCATATGTCTAAAATGAATTTTGATTTTAATGAAATACATATACTCTCAAAAATTTGTCCTTAATCTGGACAAATTTTCTCTCAAAAATAAAAAGGGCAGAAGAATAATGTCTTTTGACCTAATGATCTTACCTAGTGAATTTATTTAAATATCATTCTAGTTTTTTTGGAGCTTTTGGTGTTTCCAAAAATATTTTTACAGCTTTTATCAAACCTTCTGTGCCTTAATTGTTTTTTTCCCAATATGAACATGTGAGTTTACGATTAAAGCAGGCATTGATTAAGACAGGGGGTTTCTAATAGTCTTTATGATTGTATTAAAAAAAAATTCAAAAAGAATAAAGTTTTTTTTTAGGTGCATGTTCTCAAGTTTTTTATATTTCAAGTGTGAAGAAACCTTGTAAAGTTTTATGTCTACTGCTAATGAACATGTGAGTTTACGATTAAAGCAGGCATTGATTAAGACAGGGGGTTTCTAATAGTCTTTATGATTGTATTAAAAAAAAATTCAAAAAGAATAAAGTTTTTTTTTAGGTGCATGTTCTCAAGTTTTTTATATTTCAAGTGTGAAGAAACCTTGTAAAGTTTTATGTCTACTGCTAAAGTGTTACTAAGTAGATATGAAGTGAGTAGACTGTTATAATGTTTTTCACTCTAATAGTAAAGATATAACTTTAAAAATTTTTTAATGAATTAGGCTCGGTTTCATCAGCATATTCATTCCTTGTTCAGTTTTGGTATAAACAAAGGAATGAAACATTTTTTTAACAAAGTTTTAGCATTAAAAGTGAAATTTAAGTATTAAGAAAATGTAATAGTGTAGACACATTTGGACTCTTCTACACTGTAAAGAAAAAAGAGGGTCTTTTTATGATAACCACGTCCATTAGTCTGTGTTAAAAAAAAAAAATAAAAAAAACGCACTTTACTCTCCAATCTTATACTCTCTAATACTAATCACTATACTCTCCAATCTTTTGACCCATTTGACAATCTTTTGACCCAAAAAGACTACGTAAAGTTTTAGAACTGTAGGACAAATTTAATAGTATTTTTTTGATGCTGCTTTTTTACAATTTTTGCGAAAAATAAGAAATTTTTCAACTTTATTTTAAAAAAATCTTCTTTGTACTTTTTTAAAGTTTATAAAGTGTTTACAATAAATTTTGGCCTATTTATCTCCAACCATTTCTTTATTGAGTATATCAATGTCACTGTCAGATGCTATTTTACTGCCCAAAACACTGCCTAATTAAATTTTACTTTGTATAAGTATAGACTAGATTTATTTTTCCAGATAAATAAAATACTGACTAAAATGAAAAAAAAAGTTGTTGTTCTACCAATCCAAGGAGAACGTGTTTTCTGAAATACCCCATCTTCTGGAACCCCATCCATAGTCTACCAGATAAAAAGCTTCCTACCATTGTAAATAGTTTAAGGCTCTAATACTTTGTAATTTACAATTGTAAATTTTCATTTATGTGACTCAAAATTAAAGTTAAACTCTCATAGTATAATTATCTTAGGTAGGCCAGGTACTACTTATATTTGAGATCAGGTATTACTTATATTTGAGATCAGGTACTACTTATATTTGAGATCTGGTACTACTTATATTTGAGATCAGGTACTACTTATATTTGAGATCAGGTACTACTTATATTTGAGATCAGGTACTACTTATATTTGGGATCAGTTACTACTTATATTTGAGATCAGGTACTACTTATATTTGAGATCAGGTACCATTTATATTTAAGATCAGACAAAAAAGTTTATTAGAAATAAAATCATAGGTGTTGAATGGCAAAAGTTTAATGTTGTACATTGACACAAAACTTGTGAAACAAACTTGTGAGCAGAAGAATATGTCTGTTGATAGACTAATATTAAGTGTGTCCACTCCAGATACTCTGGATTTAGATGATATTCTGTTAGGTGATCACATAATTGAGAAAGAGATGTTACGTTAATGTTACCTGCTAATAATACCTTACCAAAAAGGGGAAGTTGCAATAAAAAAATCTGGAAGAAAAAAAAAGAAGAGGAAAATCTAAAAAAGTTCAACAAAAATAGTATAAAATAAGAAATTTGATATAAATACTGATATTTTGTAACTTTGTAACCATTATTTGTAATTGTCATTGTTTAAATAAATTCATTTTACAGCAAATAATTTTTTTTTCCAGGCTATTTTTAGTTTTAATTTTTTTTTTTTTACTCTTAATATGGAGTTTAATCACTAATATTTTCCATTAAAAAAAAAATGAATTGAGTTTAACATAATCCTGTTACACATGGTCTTATGAGCTGAAACTTTAAACATGATAAGTTTGATGTAAATGAACTAGATTGTAAAGTATAGTGTATCTGAATTTTGACTTTAGTTGTAATATGACATAGGCTTATGTGAATATCAGAAACTGAGAAGATTGTAGTGTTTTAAATTGGATATGGCATTCCAGAGAATTTACTAATAATACAATAAGTTCATAAACTGCCAATTAAATGATGACATGTACTTGACAAAGAGTGTTGTTGAACAATGGTATAAAACGGCTTTTAGTCATTTCCTCATTATGTTTCAATGCACACATCAACCAAAAGAAATTTTAGGTAATGTAAAGAAATTTAGAAATTTGCTTAATGCTCTATCAAGGTGATAGAAAATTGTTTTATAATATGAAAATTATTTTTTATTTATATTTTTTATATATTTTTTGTTATATATTCTAAATTTTTTTAAATTACCCTAAATCTTTTAAACTTGATGCTGTTGCACAAGTTTGCTTTTTACTGTTGTTTAACAACTTCCAAAATTTGCCTCTTTTTATCAAACAACAGATTTTCTTTTAAATCTATTTTAATAACTGCTAAATTATTTTTTTATTTAAAAATAGTTAAATAATTAAAAATAATTAACCAACTGTTTATATATATATATATATATATATATATATATATATATATATATATATATATATATATATGTATGTATGTATGTATGTATGTATGTATGTATGTATGTATGTATGTATGTATATTTTTTTATATATATAAAAATATATATATGTGTATATATATATATATATATATATATATATATATATATATATATATATATATATATATATATATATATATATATATGTATATATATATGTATGTATGTATGTATGTATGTATATATATTTTTTTTAATTATATAAATCTTTACTTAAAATTGATTGGCATTACAAATAATGAATTGTACAATTTTCTCTATTGCTAATAACGTAAGAAGTGTAGCAGCACTAGAGCGTAGGCAAATAAACACTGTTTATTAAACAGATTACATGTGTATTGAAAATGCAGCTGAGCTGCCAATGTTGCGTGGCAGGTAAAGATCACTGACACCATCACGTAGAATACGAAGGTATTTATGAATGAACGATTGTCGGTAAGTTGTTGTGTTAACGTTATTAAGAGCAAACGGAAATCTATCAGGGTTTCTACTATTAGTGCGGACTAGTTTATTGGTTATCGGATGGTATGTGTCATTAAGGATCTTTTTGAGGATATTAATAAATGCTTTTTCTAATAATTCTTCAATGTTAAAATAAATATTGAAACGGCTCGAATTGCGACGCATTTTAATGGAAATGTTGAATCTCTTTTTTTGCTGCAGTACTGCATGACATAAGAACTGGAGCACTATATATCATGTGGCTAATAGCGTAAGACCTGTAGACTTGCAAGAGGTTGGATTGCGTGTGACTGATTTGCTTAAGGCGCTTGATTAGAAATGGAATTGATTTTGTGCACTTTTACCCATTGTTCGTCCCAATCAAGATTCTCATTTAACATGATACCAAGGTATTTGTAGCTGGAGACAGTTTCAACCTCAGTCTTATCAAGTACGACAGATGGTAGAAAATGACTTACGGGGCACCTGGAGTTAATTCTAATAACTTTACATTTTGAGCTATTGAGCTTCATACCATTGGTCAGAGACCAGAGTGCAACGCCATCAACAATAGATTGAGGTAAGTTGGCAGGAACTTTATTGTAGATAATGTCAGAATGCCATCAGCATATTTTTCTAGTATGGTTTCGGCTGGAAGATAGGTGTTTCTGTCCGAGATAAAAGGAATGAACAAGATAGGGCCTACGACACTACCCTGAAGTACTCTGGCTTGAATATGTTACCAAGTAGTGGTGTGATTACTTGTTTTTACTGTTTGATTTCTGTTAGATGAATAAATTGCAATCCAAGATATAAGCCAGCTTGGTAAAATATTTATTAACTTCAGTAGAAGTTTTTTGTGGTCCACAAGGTCAAATGCTTTTGTAAAATCGAAAAATATTGTGAAGGTTGATTTGTGATCGTCTTTTGCGCGACTCCAGTCTTCTATAACTTGAATAATGGCATCCATTGTACTACGGCCTGGGAGGAAACCGAACTGTTTGTTTGAGACCCAGATGTGCTTGGTGTGATGGACAATAAATTTGGGGATAATGCGTTGAAAAACTTTGCATAATGTGGATGTAATGGCAATGGGACAATAATCATTAAATGAGAGCGGGTATTTGGTTTTAGGAATTGGTGTTATGTTTGCTAATCTCCATTGATCAGGGAGAAAACTAGGCGGGTCTGCTTTTATATATATATATATATATATATATATATATATATATATATATATATATATATATATATATATATATATATATATATATATTGTTTATATATATATTGTTTATTTATATGTTTTTTAAATATATATTTGTATACTATTTTTTATTTTTATTAATTTATTTGATTAATATTTTTAAATGGTTTTGAGTTGTTGTTTTTTTTCAAAAATATTTTAAAATGACTTCTGATGCTTTATTAATATTATAAAATGTTGATTAATTGAAAAATGTTGTGCTACATTTTTTTGTTTTCCTTTTTTGCACAAATAAAAATTTTCCTGTCTTATAACTTTTGATTGGCAAGTTTTTTCAATCATTTATAGGTGGAGCATTTCAATTAAAGAATTTTCTTCAATAATACCAAAGGTGTGTTTTATTTATTATATAGAATCGATAACGTAATCATTGTTAAAAGATAATTAAATAATGATAAATAATGTTTCTTTGTTATTATTTTCTTGAGTCTGCAGTTTTTTACAGCTCTGGAGTTTGTGTAAAAATAAAATTTTTTGAAAAGTTTTTCTATTATTATTCATGCAAAAGTTATATTAAAATAGGATTGCTCATATTTTGGTTATGAGGACTCAATTATAATGCAAATTACCAGAATGCTGGCAACAAATGATCATGGCGTTGTTCTGCAATCTGCAAAGTAATATTTTTTATTAGAATTATAAATATTATCAATTTAAACAAAAATCTTAATTTATTTATTATCTTAACTTGTTTTTTGTTTTTTTTGTATATTAGTTTTTATTAAAATTGAATAATTTTTTTGTCAATAATTTTTAAATTGAAAGATTTTTTTTTAAAAAAATTTTAATTTTTAGAATGTTATATGAAATTTTCTGCCATTTTGTTGAGTTTGTGAAAAAGTCCACTCTTTCAATAGATGAAGATAAAAAAATTGATTCAGACTCTCTTAAAAATAAATGTTTAATACTTCAGAATAAACTAGAAACTCTCTTTCAAACATTAAAAATAGAATCAAATTCAAGTTTAATACTTTCTAAATCATGGCCCAAACATGAAAGACCTGTTCCTGATAAGTGTAGAAGTAACACAATGGAGAATGTTGAACTTTCTTCATGTAAGAATCTAGGTGAAAAAAAAAAATATCACAGTGATATAACATTAACAGAAGACGATATTAAAAAAAGTCATAGTTCAATAAAATTTATTTCAAAGGAACATTTATGGTCACGTGCAAACAGTTTAAAAAGTGCCCTAAGAGATATAATAGATCATACTGAAAAAGGTAGATTTTGTGTGTTTTTATGAATGTCTACATATATATGTGTACTTAAAACAAAAAAGAGTGGCTCTTAAAACAGTTTTTTTGAAAAAAGTTTGCTCTTACACCTTTAATTTGTTCTATATAATAATAAAACACTAGGTTCAAAATTTTTTTGAACAAAAAATATTTTCAGGAGTAACTCAAGACCCTTCAAAATTTGACGGGTCCCTAATATTTTGAAAAAAAAAGTTCTAAAGTATGTCAACCTGGTACTCAAAATAAACAAAATTATATAAAAAATTTAAAAATGAAAATCATTTTTATAAAAATAATTTAAAAATGTATGATAATTTAAAAATGTATAAAAACTATTGTTTTTAAGCAGAAAATAAAAAAAAGTATTTTCAAATTTTTTGAAAATAATTTTTAAACATGTTTTTTATGTGAATTGATTATTATTTTTGAAGTTTTATATAACTTCTTTTGAGCACCAGGTTGACATACTATAGAAGAACTTTTTAAAAAAATATATTAAACACCCACCAAATTTGTAAGGGTCTTGAGCTACCCCTAAAAAATATTTTTTGTTCAAAAAAATTTTAAACCTAGTGTTTTAGTATTATATAGAACAAATTAAAGGGGTAAGAGCAGGTTTTTCAAAAATAATGTTTTAAGAGCCACCCTAATGCGTATATGAATATATGCATACAAATGTGTGCGTATGCGTGTGCGTGTGCGTGTGTGTGTGTGTGTGTGTGTGTGTGTGTGTGTGTGTGTGTGTGTGTATATATATATATATATATATATATATATATATATATAAAATTAACTAATATAAATCTGAAAAACTAAAACTCTAATAGAAAATTGTTTTTAATTATTCTTTGTGATTATGTTAGTGTTGAATAACTTTGATTTGACAAGTTCCTAACCGATTTTATTTTATTTTAGGAGAATAGTAAATAAATCTTTTTTTTTTTTAAAGTCTTGATACAAATATTTTAATGATTATTTTTTATTTATTAATGTATTGTTATATATCAATCAAAAATAAGAATATATAAACAAAAGAAATAGTAATATAAATAATTTTAATTAAACATTTTCAAAAATTGAAAGGTTATTTTTTAATTCTTCTAATACATAACCAATGCGACGAACTATAAAACTTTGATCTTTTCTAATGTTTTAATAATATTAGTTTTAATAATATAATATTAGGCTACCTCTTTTAAATAAATAAAAAAACTTATATGTTATTACCATTTAATAAAAAAACAAACTTTATTTAAATTATCAAAAAGTATTTTTAAAAAAAGTTTATTTGAAACGTATTTGTTGTCGTTGTTTAAAGGGATCCCAAACTCCCAACACATGTTGTGTTCATATTAAAGATAATGTTGAAAAAAAGGTTTGAACCAAGTTTTTTTGATTAAAAATAAATAATGAATGCATACCGAGAAAATCTAACGCTGTTGTTTTAGCCGAAGCTCGCCATCTCCATTTTTTTGAATAACTCTGAGTCTTTAAATTATATGTCACAATCTACAGACTTTGGCAATTCCTTCGAAGCGCGTTTAATTCATAAAAGTTTTAGCATTTGACGTCATGGTAGATTTTTAACAAAAGAAAAGTGTAATTAAACAAAGCTGCGTTTTTCTATTTTAATTCAAAGAAAAAATTTTTTAGCATACAACAAAACAACTTTTACAACAAACTTTTGTAAAAATCAAAAATAATAAAAGCTTTTTATTTCATAAGAGGAACTTTTTTTTTTACCGATATTTTAATAATTTTTAGATTTATATATCTTACTTATATTTCTTTTGTTTTTAAATTAAAACAAATATTAAAGCTTTACTTACAAATCTTAGGATTTTCATATGAGTGTTTTACATTATATAGAACGTTATGTATACGATCTCTCGTTTTTGTGCAAGAGAGCGCAGTATTATATATTCTGAATCTTACTTATTTTTATTTAAACAATGGGAACTATTTTCTAACTTCTTTGGTTATTTTTAGGCTATGATATTTTTTGTTTTCCGTCGAAAAAAAATTTCATAAACTGGCAGTATTAATTAGAGATATATGATGAATTGTAAACTTTTTTTATTATAAAAATTTTTTGATTACGCTGATTTATTTTAAATTGCTAAATTTGATAAATTGGATACGGATAAAAAGGAAATATCATTTTATTTTACATTTGTTTTTTGATAATGAAACTTTTAAAATGTCGGCAACTCCATAGCAATTAGAACCTGTTAAGGTTATGAAAAAAAAGTACAAGAACACACTAAACAATACAGTTGACAGTAGTATCAGATATGCAAATTCGTGAAAGGTTATGTGAGATCTTGGTTTTGCATTAAAAGTACAATTAATAACAACACAAAGTCGGCATTATAAATTTTGATTATTAATTTACTGTTCAATATTTTATAACCATCAAATAAAAACATGAAGTTTTTATATTTTCGCCCGTTTTATACAACTAATATTTAACAAAAATGCGGACAAATTATTTTTATATAACGTAATAATTAACACATTAATTAATGGCAATAATTCAAGATAAATGGTAATTTAAATTGTCAAAATGTCATAACGCGCGTTAAAAAACTTATTATATTTGGTATTTCCCAATTTGTATCGTATTTGGCATTTGTCTCTTAACATGAAAAATTAAAAAAATTTAAAACACAACAAACACAAATTTTCGAGCAATTTTCTCTTCCAATTTTCATTTATTCAAAGAAAAGTTACTATTAAACTTTTATTTCTCTCATCTAATAAAAGAACGAGCGACGCATAAAAAATATATATATAAAATAAAATATTTGAGGTTTTTAATATCTTTCTAAATGTTAAAAATAGAAAGAAAAAAAAACTTAACAAATAATCAAAAAAAGTTCGAATAAAAATATTTCCAGAGTTTCATTTGTTAAAAGTCTACCGTGACGTCAAATACTAAAACTTTTATGAATTAAACGCGCTTCAAAGGAATCGCCAAAGTCTGTAGATTGCGACGTATAATTTAAAGACTCCGAGTTATTCAAAAAAATGGAGAAGGCGAGCTTCGGCTAAAACAACAGCGTTAGATTTTCTCGATATGCATTCATTATTTATTTTTAATCAAAAAAATTGGTTCAAACCTTTTCTTTAAACATTATCTTTAATATGAACACAACATGTGTCGGGAGTTTGGGATCCTTTTAAGAATACAAATTGTTTTATAAAAATTACATTCATTTAAGAAAAAAGAAAAACTTTTAAAATAAAAGTTTTATTTAATATTCTATGATAATTTATTTTATACCGTTTTAAAACTTTATTTAAAAGCGTTTGGCTTAGTGTAAACGAATTTTTATTAGAAAGTTTACATAGTATAACAAAAGAATTAATTTTTTTATGTTTTCGACTATTAAATATATGGATTCATCAATAAGTTTAAAACAATTGTTGTCATTTTTGTTTATAAAATTATTTGAACAAATTGTTTTAAAATAATTTACATTCATCGTAAAAAATAAACTATTTAGCAATATAAAATCTTTTGATAATTTAAATATGTCATTTAAAGTATACAATCTTTAAAAGCAATTTCTTGCTTTATTACCTTAGACTAGCACATTTTTAAAACGTTTTCAAAAATTTTAAAAGCAGTGGTTAAGTTGCAAAAAGAAAGAAAGAAAAAGTGCAGTCAGGGATAGAGTGCGATTGCACGCCTTTCCTGTCCACGGCTGATATATATATATATACACACACACAGATATATATATATATATATATATATATATATATATATATATATATATATATATATATATAATATATATATATATATATATATATATATATATATATATATATATATATATATATATATATATATATATATATATTATATATATATATGTGGGCAATTCCACTGTGGAAAATAAAAATGTAGTCAAATTTTATAAGACACATAAAAATTTATTTATAATATACCTTTAGTACTAAAATTAATTTAAGTCGTTTTTATGTTTCCTTAAGTTACAGATTTTAAAAAAGTATCATTGTAAAATGTTATTTTAACCATGAATTTCTTTCCATAATTGAAATTAATTTGTGTAAATGGAGCTAACATATTCAAATTGTTGTTGGTAAGATTTTAAACTCAAATATACATATAAAATATGTATATTTGGGATCATCCATAAATTATGCAACGCAAAATATATCTTTAAAAAACAAAAGCAGGAGATAATAAGCTTTTTTACCTGGCAATTTTCATATAAAGGACCACCAAGTCCTGAGACATGTTGTGTTCATATTAAAGAGAATGTTAAAAAAAAACATTTGAGCAAATTTTTTTTTAATTGGGACTAATTAATAATGTATACCAAAAAAAAAATATCTTATTGCTTTAGTCAAAGCTTGTCTTTCCCATTTTCTGCGGTATTTGGAATCTTTAAAATAAACGAGATTTTCCAGGCGCATTATACAGACTTGATAATTTATTCAAGTGCGTTTAATTCATAGGAGTTTTAGTACATGACATCATTGGAAACATTCCAGAAATTCTTTAAAAATTTTACTATTAAATTTTACTAAAATAGCTAACTATAGTTAGTTATTTTATTTTCTAAAACCTTCACATTAAAAAATATTTAGTTTCTTTGTAGATATCAGAGCCGCGGCTACATTGGCTACGGCGATGGTAGACCTATGGACCCCTATGGCACCAAATCAGGTTATATAATATCTCCGATGATTCACAAGTGTGTTCTTTACATTTTGATGCAGGTTGTTTTGACAAATCTAACAAAAAATTAATTAAACCAAGCACTAGAAAGAGATATAAAAAATAAGAATATACTAATAAAATATATAATTTGTAATAAACTTTCAAAATTTTGACAATTTAAAAAATATATATTTTAAAACATTTATTTTTGTAAACAAATGATAATAGTTTAAAAGATTTACGGCTTTGCAGATGTGGCTCCGAGAATGAGCCATAATATTAAAGT